GCGCCCACCGGCAACCCCAGCAAGGCTGGGGGGGGGGGGGGGGAAGTTTGCCTTAAAGGAGTCAAAACACCAAGCCCTGATGCTGAATTCATGGGGTGGGATTTTGCACTGCCTGTCTCGCTCGGGAAATGGCAATGCTGGGCTTGCTTTTCCCTCTGCTGCTGATCCCAAAGGCGTCTTCTACGCCTTTAGTTCCTAGCAGTATGCGGTTTCCATAATGTTCAATTGTTATTTCTGTAATCTTCAATTTTTTGTTTCATCACCTGCCGAAGATCAGAAACTCCATAGCCCTTAATCTTCACTGGGGCTTGTTCTTTGGCAATAGGCTCTAAACCAGAGCCCAAACCCACTTGCCACATGTTCTTCCTGCTCATCCCTAATGCCGTAATTAATATTGAATGTTGAAAGGCAGCCAGCACGGCAACATTCACAACTTCAGTGTTGAAAGGCAGCCGTCACTATTGCTAAATAAATCCACGGCTGGATCGAAATGTAGTGGTCAGGTGTGTCTCTGCAGAAATATATTATTTTCTTCTTCAGGTTAGAAAGGGGGGGAAAAAAGGCAACAGTGATCACTTTCAGCCCGAGACCTTGTACGTCAACTTTCTGCCTCTTCGCTATGTTTTTTATGGCTGAGCTATGAACCCAGGAAAATAGGAGATTCTAATGGAAACAGTGACAGATGCTTATCCGTACCAGCACAGATAGCGCTGTCATAACGATGCTGGGGGAAGCATCGTTTCCGCTGTGATGGAAAGCTCCTGGTGAAGCAATGTCATGTTTATGCATGGTTCTTCAGCCACTTTCAAGCCCGCTCCCAAGCTCAAAATCAGCCGGGTGATGCTGAGAACATCTGGCTGCCCCCTCTTCCAGGGACATAACTCCCCCGCTGCAGAGAAGTGGCTCTGCGCAGATGAAACGAGAAGTGATGCACACGTTCACCCACCCTTCACCCCAAAACTGACCTGAGGCCTTCAGAAGCTCAAAAAAGCAGCAAATTTGCTGCTGCGTTTCTAGATTCCAGCTGGGACCAGGGGCCTGGCAGTGCTGCAATACCAGAAACTTTTCTCTGCGTCTACACAGCTAAATGATCTGCTGCTTAAAATGCTAACGACCGCTCAGAAACATGGATACCCATAGTTGGTATCACCGGAGGGAACTGTGCTTGGAAATTTTGAGGAGAAATACATAGAAACAAAGCTGCCTGATTCGCAGGAGGTTCAGACATCGCCTGTGACCGCACCCAGCTCTGACTGTCCTCTGGCAAGGGCACGGGAACACCCGCCGTTGTCCTCCTGGGCCACTTTTCTTTTGCAATGTTATTGAAATCTGTGCAATGGCTCTTCGGCTTTTCTCCCCTCTCCTTTTATGAAGAGATCTAGAGGGCATTGAGTCATGTGTTACCGGTAATGCTCAGTGTATGTCTCTTCAGGGGGCTCTCACTCCAAATGAGATAGCAGAACATTGCTTTCTGAACTGCCTTTCTCAGAAGGCTCCGAAATAAAAAGAAGAAATATGTAGGTATAAGGCTCGGGATGGCTGAAGGGTGGGAAACATTAATGCATGCTGAAACCAGGTGGGTTTGTCACACCGATACGGTGTTAGGGCACGATTATTTCAACACCGTGACGGTGGAATTGCAGAGTCGCATTGTGCTATTCCTACTACACTGTGACGACTCCTAGTTACCTATGTGTTACGCCAAGCGAGGTGTACTCATAGGACAGTGAAACGTGTCCCCGGAGCTACAGTGACGTGGACTATTTCGTGTGGCAATGGAAGAGCTTTCATACCGTGGGAACACGAAATCGTTAATATGTTGAATTCTACAGATGCAATACATTCCTGTTTAAGGCCCAGATGGCTATCACTAGCCACTGCTGACAGCTGTACCTTACACTTAACCTGAGTAACTTTTTCTTCCTCCTCTTTGAAATAGTTTGCAGACTGTCAGATTCTCCAGTCTCGTGCAGCCTTAATTTTTGACCGCTTCATCCTCCTGCTGTCCTGTTTCACCGATTTCATTATAGGAGCGAGGTGCAGAGGCTGACGGAGTTGTCAGCTCAGTCACTGCAGGGAAGGGGACTTCGCAGGTGCTGGGTAGTGCATTTAGAATCATAGAATCATTTAGGTTGGAAAAGCCCTTTAAGATCATCAAGCCCAACCGTTCCCCTACCCCTGCCATCCCACCGCTAAACCCTGTCCCTAAGCACCTCGTCTGCTCGGCTTTTAAATCCCTCCAGGGATGGGGACTCCACCACCTCCCTGGGCAGCCCATTCCAGAGCCTGACAGCCCTTTCTGTGAAGGGTTCTTTCTTGTGTTTTGCAAACGTTCTTTCTTGTGTTTTGCAAACATTCAGTAAAAAAGGTATCAAACAAAGAACTGCCCGGTTCTGCTCGGTGCTCAGTGCCCAGCACAGGAGCAGGAACGACGGCCCGTTGTTCAGGAATGCGAATAATATTTGTGGTTTTTTAATGCAAAAACCTTCTTTGTGCCTGTGGAGATTTTTTTGAATAAAGCTTTCTGCAATATAAGAGAAGCAAACCCTCACGCATCATTTTCCTCTGTACGTTGCAAAGGCCCTTCACTTGACGACAGCTCTTTGCCATTAGCAAGGATGGGCCGTCGCTCTTTGTTCAGCTGTTTATTCATGTTGGTTAGCAATTTCCGGGAAATAAAAAACCCCTGTATTAAAAGAATGCAGCACATGCTGGAAAAAATGACTTCCTCAGCATCTTCCCATTTCGATATAATGCTTCTCTGTAGTGGAAAATATTGCTGGTAGGGTCTTTGAAAAATACTAGCTTAGGGAAGTTAGTGTATACATTTAAATAGATGGCTATTGCTGTAGTTCTCCTCTGCTGCACCTGCATTTTCCCATTCCCTCCAAACCATCAATTTCCAAACAGAAGAAATCACCTCATCTCTTTCCGTATTACAGAGGCTGTAAAATGTCACCCAGTTACCCCAAAATTTCCATTAGACTGTAGGTATTTTCCAGTAAACGACATAATCTCGGACCCATCGAGATGTACAGAATCCACAACGTGCCTTGCTGCTTTCTTTTGCTACGTTAACCACAAGAGCAGCTCAAACCAAAGTAAGACGGGGGTTATATTTACGTTGTTTTAAACTTCAAACCCCTGGTTCTTCTGGTGCGCTTCTCTGAAAGACTGTGATTGCTCTTCAAAACCTTCCTCTTCCATGAATGATCCCAACCACGGTAGCACAGCACAGGTTAAATAACGTTCCCTGTGAACTGTTTTTGAGAAGCAGCCTGGGTTGATGAGACACTGGCATCAGTAAATGCTGTATTTTCTCTGTTTGCCAAATAAATTTGGGTTCATCTGGAACTTGCTCCCACGCCTTTCTCTGCGGGCAAGGCACTAAATACAAGCAGGTGTGCCCGTGCAAGAGTTAATCGCTCCGATACTTTGGGAATTTTATCCAGGTTATTCATCAATCACCAGCAATCATTTCTGTACCTTCACCCCTGCCAGGAATCATTTGAAAACTCTCGGCAATTAGCTGAAATAAATAGGTCTGTTGGGATAAACAGCTCTGAAGCACCATCCAGCTGCTCGCTGGGGCTGCTGCGAGCTTTTTAGCCCACCGATGGAGAGGAAGGGGTGGGAGGAGGGAGGTGGTACTCAGTAATCTCCTCCCTCCCACCCCCAGTTTCACCACTCATACCGGGGGAGGCTTCCAGTGGCCTCCTTGCTCTCTGCTACTTCCACCCCTGAGGCCGCATCGCGTGGGTTTCCCGTCCTGTCCCCGCCGCAGCAGCACAGGATACTTCTCTGGCTTCCTTGTGATAATTTCAGTACCTTGAGCTAATTTCAGTACCCTAACGAGCCCTGCGCTGCAAGGACAAGGCAGCAGCATTGAGCGGCTGCACAAAAACCTCCGTCTGAAAGCAGGCGGGGAAGAGAAATAGCTCTGCTTTGTCTGTTTGAAAATTCAATGATTTCAACACATTTATCAAATTTTGAATAATTTATGCCTTGACAGGCCTTATCAATTTTGCAAAGCACACACATTAACCAGATACAATGATCTCATATTAGCTTTTTCAGCATCTTACACTGGAGCCCAGAAAGATTAATAAAAACTCAGCCTGTCATCAATTAAATGAAAAACATAAAATTGTGTTCCATTATAGCCTTTTTTTTTTTTTGTGCAAGAAAATGATGACGGGTTCTAATAATTCATCACAACAAGCTGAGCTTGAACTTTACTGATTATTAAATATGTTTTTCCCAAAGGCAGAGGCTGTGATGGGGTTTATGGCAGCAGATGTGATTGCTGTCAGGAATGCTTCAAGGAATTCAGGAATTAGCAACATCTTTTAGTGGGACTGTATAAAAAAAGCCATGTTTGTTCCATCTAGTCACAGCCTTATTTTTCAGGATGTTATAAGCCCGTGTGCTTTCATAATTGTAAGGTGGATTAACTTGCATTTACCACCACAGCTTTTGCTAGGAATGAAAGCTGTGAATTAACAAGTTGGGTTACCACGCAGAAAAATCCTTAAGGATGCCTCGATCTCCAGCTGCCCAAATGTATGCTCAGGTTTTTGCTTGAACTTTTTGATCCCTTCTCCCAAAACTTCTGCTGGGAAGCTTTTGGATTTCCCTTGAGAAAACAAAATTGTGCAGGTCAGCCTGCCCCAAGAAGCGGGGAGTTGATTTGCACTGGATCAAAAATCTTTCACTTCCAGACCGATCCTAAGATTTGCACCGATTCCTTCTCCTCCTGACTTTGCAATCAGCTGCAGCTGGCAGCCCCCTAGCCCCCGTGCCAAATATACAGCGGTAGCCGCAGCAAAACGGAGTGTGCAGGCTGCTTTGTAGGCAGCACGTAACATCCTGCCACAGTTTGGAGTTTGTGTTTTTTCTCAGAAGGTGTATTTTAAATTAGGTAAGTATAGAGGAGTTGATACAAGCTACTTATTAGAAATTGGTTTTTTAAGTTAAAAGGTGTATGTGAACACCTGAGGGCCTGACAGCAGGGTATGTATGTGGCTCTCATACTGGGAAAATAACAAGAGAGCTCCAAAGAAATACAACTAACAACTCCTGCATTTTATTTCGGTTGTGAAGAAAAGTATAAACATGACTTGAAATATCTGAGATGAAGGGACTGCTAAAACATGGCCATGTCTTTGGCTGCTTGCTTTGCTTCCTGAGCCAGATTCTTCTGCTGTGGTTATGGTGCAGTTGATGAGGGACCCCGAGGTGCTCAGGGTGACCGTCCCCTCCCTTGGGGTGCTGCAAGCTGCTGATGGTGCTCCCCAGGTCCTGCTGCTGCCAACTACCTGCCTGGCAGCCTGCTCTGACCCACGAGGAGACCGTGAGCCATCTGTGTTCCATATAATCCTCCAAGCACTAGGCAGGTGGGAAGGAACCGAGTGAGCAGGGAGGTACTTTTGTCAGAACTTCAGGAAACGAAAGAAATGGCAAAAGACACCTCAATGGGAGGCTGAGAGCGTGATCTTTGTGTCCTGCGTGGCTCTGGAAGCAGTGCTTGCAGTTTGCAGCCTGGAAGAGAGCAGAGGTGCAAGCATTAGCTTGATTAGTTGAACAACCCCAGTTTTGTTATGGATTTGTCAAAAGCTGGGAATTAATTATTTCCCCACATAAATGAAGAGACTCCACAGAAATTGCTGATGCCATTTGCCCACGCTAACAGGGGTGGTGGGATGTGAATATTCAGAATCATAGAATCGCTTAGGTTGGAAAAGACCTTTAAGATCATCAAGTCCAACCGTTCCCCTAACCCTGCCATCCCACTGCTAAACCCTGTCCCTAAGCCCCTCATCTGCCTGGCTTGTAGATACCCCTAGGGACGGGGACTCCACCACTTCCCTGGGCAGCCCCTTCCAGTGCTTGACAGCCCTTTCAGTGAAAAAATTTCTCCTACTGTCCAACCTAAACCTACCCTGGTGCAACTTGAGGCCATTTCCCCTCAAGAAGAGAGGCTGAACCTTGTGGTTGAGGATGCCCTTGCTCTCCAGGCTCCCGAAACACTTTCCTATGCTTGTACAACCTCTCCCTTGCTAAACTGTAAATAAATACAAGCTAGTTGTTGTGACTGGCCTTCTCTCTCCTTTGGGCGATGACAGACTCTTTGAAATACGCTGGTGCAAAGACAAAATCAAGTCAGAAATTCACAGTTCACCTGCCTGATTTCTGTCGCATTTTAAAATGGATTGAAAAGAGGGACTATGGGGTTCACTGTGCTAATTTCAGCAGAGACAGTCTTTACGGGGGGAAACTGCAGAGCAGGGGAGGGATGGTCAGAAGCCCTGCACTGTAGCTGGATGGCAGCAGCACACCCAGACTTCTCAAAGTCCCCCAGTCACGTTAGGGGGGTTGCAATTTGGAGAATTTTAAAGGCTAATGCAGCTATTGCTACTTTCTTTCCCTCGGAAAAGGTGGACAGAAATCCCCTGTTCAATAGCTAATACAATTGGATTGCTTTAACAATTTTGTCCTGTCTCCTGTAGTTAAAACTAAACTGACAAGCTGCTTCAGCAGAAAAAAAAGCCTCCGTGATCGAACCTTGCAGCCCATTAAATTTTCTGCTTGTAAATGAATCCTACAAAGAAATCCCCCCCCCCACCCCCGCAGAGGGATGATGCTG